GCTTTGTGCCTCTTGGAACTGCAGCTAAATTGAAGTTGGGTTTCATCAAGCTGCAGAAAATTCTTTAACAAGCCACGTTTATGTAATTCCCCAACTCGATTGGTTTCTTTTGACGTCACATGTGAAACACAAGTGTCACTTGACAGCAGAGCTTGACAGCTGATTATATTTGGGGTGGTGTCACTTCTGTCAAATATTTTCTAGAATCACCGATTACTGAATTCACTTGCTACGTGTACCGGCAAGAAGTAGATGAACGAAAACTATTTATCAGCGTGCTACATATTGAAAGAGTAGGCTCACTTGAGTAAATGGACTTTGAAGCTTTACCTTTTTTTTTTAATCCTCCAGCTAATTATCATTTTTGTTTTGAGTTAGAATGTATAATATACGTCACATTACAGGTGGAATATACTCTGTATTGTCATCTACGCTCTACACAAGTGACTGCGCCACAGCAGACCCGTCTGTGAAACTCCTGAATTTTGCAGATGAGACGACTGCTGGTCTGATCCAGGACAGTGACTCTGTGGATCAGCTGGCGTATCGGTGTGGTCAGAACCAGCTGGAGCTTAACCCGCTCAAGACTGAGGAGATAATGGTGGACTTTTAGAAAATGCATCCCAATCTGGCTCTATTTTCCATCCTCAACCAGACTTTCTGCTCTGTGGATCACTTCCAGTTGCTAAGAAGCAGCCTTTCTCAGGACCTGACGTGGTTCTCACTCATCCACACTTTCTGGAAGAGATCCAGCAGAGACTAATTCCTGTGGCTACTCAAGAAGTACAATCAACATGTTTTATTGTGCATGACTGTGTGGTTTGGCTCAAATTTTTACCTTCAGGGCAGCATTAATGAAACCAAAGTCAAATTGTTTGTTTGTGAACACCATCCTGACTCATTAAGCTGATTCTGATTCTGAAAAAGGTTTTGTCCCATAACTGTTCAAGTTCGAGAAACCTCTTTTCTATGTGCAGACATAGGAAACTGACTATAATCTTGGTAATTGTACAGTTTTTATAAAATCTGTGGTATCTGCATTTAAAAAAAAAAAAAAAAAAAAAACAATGACCCACAGCTGCAACTAAGATGGAATGAATTGAGAGAAAATAAGATTTTCAGGTTTCTGCCTTTTTTTAAGCAAGCTCCCCTGAGAGGCGAGTGTTTAATCTCCAGAAACACAAAGTTTGACCTGAAAGTTTAAAATGTATTTATTTCATGTACCAATGATGGTCAAAAAAGAGGGAAAGCATACCCATACTACGTTAAAATTAAACCTGTACATCTGGCAAAAAATCATTTTCTACAGCCTTGATGCCAGAAAGCAGGAATAAAAAAAATAATTTAGATCGTCATCATTAGTAAAAGTCATAACACCCTCATTAGACGAGTTTGATGCAAAATCATGATCAGCACATAGTGCTTCTAATTTAATGAGAAAACAGATTTCTGACACAAAAGCCCCACTTCGGTGTCAAAGTGGTTTTGAAAACGCTTCAGAAACTCTTTTTAATTTGCCCTTCAGTCAGATGATAGTGGAGAATTTCATACGACATTTAAATACAGATTTGAGTTTCTACTTTCCATTAAAGAAAAGCTGAGTTGAAGAAAGGCAAACATGCAGAAGGTGTTTGCTTTTAGTTCAGCCTCTCTTCATTATCTGCGATTCTCTTCTGTTATTGAAAAAGCTTTTTCATCAGGAGAATCTTAGGGACACAATAAATAAATGTATTTTATTGAATAAATTGGTTTGACAGCCGCTTGGTTTGTTTTTATGCCTCCTACATAAATATATTTGATTAGCTGTGTGTGTGTGTGTGTGTGTGTGTGTGTGTGTGTGTTTTACTGCATTTGCAAGCCTATGATATTAGAAGTGATGCAATAACCATTAGTTTGTCACTGTTAAGTGTTGTTTATCATCTCTGACTCAGATTGTTTTAAGATGTCTGATTTTATGTTTTAAACTGGAGAGAGCAACATTTCTATGAGGGACTTAAAGAAAAAAGAGTGACTTTTCTTAAAATGAAGTTATATTATTAATTAAGCTCAATCTCAGAAACAGACAGACTGTAAAGACTAACTGATAACATCTAATTTTATTATTTAGAATATGGAGGTCAGATCACATCCTGACCTCCATATTTGACTATTTAGAGAAGAGGATAGTTTAAATTCCTCCTGAATGCGTCTCTGTGGCAGGTTTCAGAAATATCCGACTGGGATAAAACTGCAGGTCAGATCCAAAACTAATTCCACAGACTATGCAACGTCTTGACAAAGTAGTCATGCATCTAAAACTCTTGTGTTTTGTGATGTTACAAATAGCAGAGCTGAAACTCTACCAAGACTCAGCTGTCTCCCTAAATGGACAAAGCCGAGCGAGAATTGATCCCATCCTGACCAACTCTGGAGGAGCTGTAGACACAGCAAATATTTGGAGGACTGTGAGACTGGTGATATCATATTATAGTTTCACTTTTGGGTTTACATGCACAAAACTATGTGCGCAGGAAAATACTAATCATCATCACCACCACCCACACAGTGAAGCATGGTGGTAGCAGTATAATGATGTGGAGATCATTTTCTTCCACAGGAATGTTAAGAATTGATGGGCAGAAGAATGGAGTTTGATTGAAATCCATTGGAGGGGTTTAAAAAATGGCCCAGTCAAAGTCCAGACATAAAACCGATGCCTTCACAACCAGAGGATGGCACACAAATTCACACCTTACTTTGGTGTTGTCGACTTAACAATACGCTTTTGAAAATTTTCCAAATCACCAGAAAAACAGCGAGCAGTAATAGTAGCTGCTTCCAGCTAATGCCTCCACAAGGAGGGAAGAAAGACAAACAAGAAAGAAATTAATCTTGTTCAGCTGGCTTATTCACAACTAATATCAAAATTGGAGCAGCACCAAATGTATGCAGACTTTTAATTTCAAAGCCAATTCCCTTTTTCACAAGGAGGGAAGGAAGGAAAAAAGGAAGAAAGGCAACTGCTGACACATGATCACAGTGGGAAAAGAGTTACAAAAGATTTAATAGAACTCATTAAATCAGAGCTTTAAACTTTGGCTCTGAAAAAACAGGGTGCTCATTTTTACCGTTTGCTCTGACTCAGCCAAAGCAATGAAGCTCTTAGTGTTTGGAGCTCCATGGCACACATCAACGTAATGACCCATAGCTGCAAGAATAGGATCGGGATATATTTAGAGGTGAAATATTCTGCAGTGGTAGACTTTGCCACAGACCTGATTCATCTGCATTTCCATTTCTGAAGAGAAAAAACTACACTCAGATTAACAATCCAGACATACAACAGTAAACTGTCCAAATACAGAACATTAACCATCAATGGTCAAACTGCTTAATTTGATCATTGATCAGTTTTATCTTAGGCTTTGCTTCTATAAACAGTTCACCAAAACAATGTACTGACCCAGAGAAAAAACTTTTCACCTTCATAACACTTGCAAAAAAATAAAAAATAAAAAAAATAAAAAATCAAAATCTCTCCCATCGACATTTGAGGGAGTTCCTTCTCATGTGAGCCACTAATCAGCTGGATGTTATTTTCTTCCACTTGTCTCCTGTCAAGCTTGTTTGGCGATAAGGTGTTGCCGTATCTCAATGACCTTTAAAGTGTCATTTCCCCGACGAGCAATTTGCTCAAAGGGGCACAAAGTGTCAAGGTGAGCACATGCACTGGTGTCAACAACAAGCCGGTGGAGGATCAGATGGAGAGAGATGTGTAAACTTGATCCGTCAGTCACACACTGAAAGAAAAATGACTTAATAAAGCACAGACACTGAAAAAGAGACCCCAGCCATTAAAATAAGTCCAGGGTTTCCTCCAGAGCACTGCAAGCCTGGCGGGTCACCAGGCGAAGAGTCATTTGTTTACTTTAAATAGGGATTGTTATACACCAGTAACAGTAAAAACGGATTAAACTAGATTTAATGTTGATGCATTAAACTGGGTACCAAGGAGTGCACACCACTTGGACCATTCCTGCACCTTCCCATTGGCCTCAAAACCTACTATTTCTAAATGACGATTAAGTACTTTCCCATTTCTAGATACTGTTTCAAAGTAAAGCTATTCTCTCACAGCTGAACTAACAGCAGCTGCTGATAAACTGAAAACAACAATTATACAACAAAAGGTATGTCTGGAAACCAAAAGTGTAAAACTCAAAATTAAACCACCCTGAAACAGAACAGCATAAATGACTTGATTATGACTTTAATACTCTGATCATCACTAAAAAGTACGATTATAAAAGTGTGTCAGATTTATTTTACAGGAATTTGTAGGATTGCCAGTGATCGTCATGCTTTTATTTACATGTCTAACAAAAAAGGATTAGAGGCGGATTGACTTGAATTTGTCTTGATCTCTGCAGAAAAACTTCTTCTAACATGTTTTTCCTTCAGCTCTTTCTGCAAATTTGTATTCGATAGGGTTTTTGTTTTTCCATTTTATTTTTATGGTTTGTTTTTGTGAAGGAATTAGAAATGTCTATCTGTGAAAGGGAATATATAAATAGATGTTCTTTTCAGTCGAGCAGAAGTAACAGATTAATTTAATACAAGCCTTCCTCTTTACCAGGATTACCATTAAATGTGGGGTGTATACGTTGCCTACGCTGTACAAGATAATTTTACAAGCTCACTAGGTTTTCCCTCTGCTTCCCCTTTAAGGCACCTTTCTTCTCTGTTTCCAACTCATTATATAAACCCACATCCTTCACCTCTTAAAGAATTCCCTACACAGCCCTTTTCCGCTAAAAGGGAGCCCCCGCACATATGTGCAGGTAGCTGATTGAAGCATTTTAAAATTGAGGAGCAAATCATATATGGATGAGCATGGTTGAATAAAAACTGCTGAGCGGCAGCGGAGAGTTTGATTTGTGCCCGTCCAGAGTGACGCAATCTCACACAAGCAGACGACGGCAGCTGTCCGGGAGAAAAGTCGGGCTGTTCGTGTTCATCACCTGAAGCTGTGTTGATGGTCCTGACGGCCTCTCTGGCGCTCACTCTGTTGTTGGGGGGATAATCAGGGACGGTGTTCTGATAGCGCTTGTCCGGCATCCGTGGGCTCACTTTGGCAGGTTGATGACTGAAATATAGAGACAAGGTTAGACCAAATTCAAAACAGGGTCTGAATAAAGACGAATTAAGCTATCTGATCCGATTGAGGAAGTGGAGACAGAAAAGAGGAATGTGGGTTGATGGAAATTGTGTAGGGAAGAGCGACAGATGTTTTAACCAAAGCAGAAACGAGCCTGAAACACGGCCCAGTTTCCATTAAAACCACCGACAGCTAGAGTTTTACACATTAGGCTATGACATGTGTACACAACCGTGGACAAACACACGCATAGTCACAACCCCACTGGCTCACCCAGACTGGCCGTGCTGCTCGTCAATCGCATCCACCGCACTTTCCACAGAGCTCAGGAGAGACTGGATCTGATTGGCCGATTCCTTCAGTAGGAAGCGAGTCACAAATTGTTCCACGTTGGTTCCCCTCTCATATACCTGAGAAGAAAAGCAGAAGATTAGATGCGTATGTTAAGTTTTGGAGCTAAAAGTCAATAATTGAGAAACATTCAGAAGAATGCAGTGGTTTGAACTCCTTTAGCTGAGATTACAGAGAAAGTGCAGAATTTCCTCGAGTCATTTTGTACCACTTCTGTTTCTCTTGTCAGTTGGGAATTTAAGGGAACTAAGTTTTAGTAAGTAAAAATCCTCCGATGCACTGAATTTTATTTTTCCGAAGAGTTTATATTAAGCTCCGTTACCATTTATTATTCTTCCCCGTTTGAGCCAGCAGACTCATGATATACGAGAGATTATGGCAACTTGTTAAGCGAGAAAAACTGTGAGCAACCCCCTGATGGTATATGTTATTATTAGAATGACACAGCCATGTAAGAAACTGAGAAACGTATTAAAATCATTAAAATCATCAGGTAACGAAGCAAGTATAAAATGTCTCCAAGGCAGGTAGGAATTGATCCATAATAGTTGGGAATAACTCAGTTTATTGGTATTTAAAACTCATCATAGGTGCTGAAGGGTATTTAGGGCTGGACTTTGACAGGACCATTTTAACACTTAACACCGATTTACATATTCTTTAGTCCAAACCATGAAAAAATAATTTAGAAACCATATTTTTTCTCTGCTCATAATATAAACTCCTTGTTCTGAGGCAACCTGTTGTTGTTTCCAAAGAGATCTACAATTTCAGGGAAGCTGGATTGGACCAAACCCAAGCAGTATTTCCATCATGGGAGAAGAAGTGGAGGTGGTTCAGTAGGATAAATACCTCAGTGTTCATCTGGACAACAGACTGAACTAGAGATGCAGCAGTGAAGACATGTAGAAGAAGGGGTAGAGTAGAGCTTACTACTGAAGGAAGGTCCTTAGTTCTTCTGCGCTTCCAGCAAGATGCTGCACATCTTCTCTAAGTCTGTTGTTGAGAGTTTCATCTCTCCTGCCATCTTCTGTTGACGCAGCAGCATCAGAGCCAGGGACTTTAAAAAGGCTCAACAAACTTGGCAAAGAAGGCTGGTTCTGTTCTGGGGACAAGTGTGGAACCTCTGGAGATGTATTTTACACAAAATTAAGAAAATCATCAATAACCCTGAGCACCCTCTTCATGAAACTGCTTTACAACAACAGAGTGTCTTAAGTCGAATGCTTCTTCAGAACAGCTGTAACACAGACTGCTACAGGAGAAACGTCCTGCCCACTGCCAACATCTACATTAATAAAGTATTTAAGAAAATCTGAAAAATATTTCATACACAAGTCTTATATTCCTTTTAGGCAGAGCTTAAAGGGGATCAATGCCCAGGAGTTGTTGTATTTTTATGGTTAACGTCTGATATTGTGAGACCAGGCTGAATTTATCTAATTTAAATGACTCACACATTTTGAGAGCCATGTAAAGTGAAGCAAGACTCAGAACAGGAACACATGAAGCACTTCAGATAAAACTGGAGCTCTTGCTTCAACTCCAATGACCTTATGTCTGCAACATGTTAATTATTTACAGCTTGCTATAATAAAATCCCTCCTCCGCATAGTCAGCATCCACTGATGACGAGACGCAGCCAGCAAACGGAGGACTTCTTACAAGCCATAGTCTTACACAAAACCACAATGCAGAGAACTACAGGCATCATCCAGGGCACTGGGAAGTCCTGATATGGCTGGTGTCCTGCAACTTTTAGATACTTCCCTGCTAAAACACACCTGAATTAAATAATTACATCATTAGCAGGACTCTGAAATGCACCTTGTGATTATCCAGCAAATTTATTTGGGTATGTTTGATAAAGGACAGACGGAAAAGTTCCCGGACATGGGCCCTCGAGGAATGGAGCTGCCCATCTCTGATAAATGGTTTTAAATTGTAAAGTGGGCAAAATAATAAAACCTGAAACCCCATCCATTTATCCCCTACTTAGTGTTTCACATTGTAAAACTATTTGGATGTTGAGTAGCTCATCAGTTTCTGAGAGCAAAAATAAAGGAGACAATTGTACAATAACTCTTGTCAGAAATATAACTAATTTAGACTTGTATAAAATTTAAATGAGTTATCAATCAATAACCTTTTTTTTGTTGTTTTTTTTTACATTTTGTGAAACAAAGAACAAAACACCCAAGTGAGAAGGTTCTTTGGTCATTGAATACATCAATTAGTCCAAATAGCTATTTAAGTAAATTAACAAGTCATTCAAGAAATGTACTAGCTGATAATCGTATGTCTTTCTCCTGCAACTAATCGGCACATTTCAACTTTATTGCTAATTTAGACTTCAAGTGAAACCAAGAAATTGTGGATTTTTTTCAGGAAAGTTTCAGCAAAAGATGTAACGCTGAACTGTCAACCTTCCAGGTGACAAATGAATCTTTATAGAGTCCTAATGCTCCACATCTTCCTCTCCTTTACCATTCCAGACTACCAGCATGCTTCAGGTGAGTGGTTCTGTGATTGGAGGCTCTGATTCGGTTGGAGGCGCCCAAGTCCAGGCATCAAGAATTACGACCCTGCAACTTTTAGATGCATCTCTTCTCCAACACACGCGACTCAAATGGTTAAACTCGTACTTGTTAGTAGTTCAAAAGACGATCGCTGGCTACAGGCACGGGCACTCGAGTCTTATCTGATCTTTTCCAATTAGCTCTTAGAACAGTTGCTCTTGAAGATCTTATTTAGAAACAAATGTGATCTGAATAGTCTTAACAAAACCAAACACTTGGCCATAATTGACTACATGTGTCCTCCAGAGAGAGGGGAGTTAGTCGGTCATGTCAGCCTTTCTGTCAGAAGTCACAGTGCAGTGATTCAGGAAGACAATTAAGGTTCCTGTTCAGTCAGCCATTCTCTCCCGCACGCTAATCAAAGACAATCTCTCCCATGAGAGGCCAAATCACACACGCCAAAGTGACTTTCATTATAACAGCCGACGGGCGATGGACGCACTCACAGACTTATGCAAACACACAGGCTCAACAGCATCACCTGGTTATGAGTTCATTCAAGTGTCTGCAGTCCTATCAGAAAACCAAGGGATTTTCCCCCAAAAGCCAACAGATTATTCAACATTTACTGATGCGTCAAAGATACGTCAATACAGATAACTTGGCTTCAGTCAGGCAGACCACTCATTTGTGCATAAAAGCCCCCCGACAACAATGGTCCAGATGAATTAGGAGAATAATTGAAGATTATGTCCAAACAATGGAAGACGAAGCTTTCGGGGCTCGGCTGGATTATCCGCTGGGAAGGAAATTACCTGCTAGGACCCCATTTAGCTTCTAGCACATGACATTCGGTCATTTTACCATATTTGTGGCCTCAAGCTTTCGGGATGCATGACAGAAATTTGGAAGGATGAAATAATGTCAGGTAATTAGTGAGAACCAAAGCCATATTATGTCGATTCGCTCTGTATTTCAGCTCGTTCTTGCACCTGCAGGCCGACTAAAATCAAGACTGGAGCTTCTGATCCTACTAGAAATTTTTCTCTGCAATGCATTGTAATCAGTCCAACACATCCAGAAGAATAACCAAAAAACTGTAAATATCTTTAATGCTCAACAGTTCACACAGAAGACAAAACTGCAGCATGGTTCCTTTTTTTTTTTTTTCTTTTTTGCATCACATGTACAGTAGATCTTTTATACGGGTTTTTGCTCTGCCAAGTTTCCCAGGGGGCTTGGCTACAAATCTTAGGAGATAGAAAACCTACAATCTATAATTCAAACAGTCCACTGACCTGAAAGAAAGAGCAAAGTCTATCCCTGCCAGGTGCCTGAACAAGACATGAAGTACAGTGTGAATATTTGAATGTTTGTGTCTGTCTCCACAACTAATTTATGTTTCAGAGGTTCTGGATAAGTGTGAGTTCTCCAACTCCGTCACCTCTACAAGGCCCAATATCTGTATGGCAAATTTGTGCGTCAGTGCAAGAAAATATGTGAATACATTTTCATATTTCAGGGCTAACAACAAATTCCTACATTGCCATCCATTAATGCATGTGCATTAGCCTCCTCTTAATGCACCCACACACAAACACAAACGGTCTTTGGTGACAAGATGGAAAAGGCTGATTACAGGAGATTTCAGACAGCTGTAATCAGCAACTTTCAAAGGATTGGTCTGGTTTGGGGAACTCATTTCATCTTTGTTGTCCCAGATGGGCAAAGACAAAGCTCTATAGAGAGAAAACAATGTGGGCCTTCCAGTACAACTTGCACAATAACCAGTGCAATGAATTTAAGAAAGCAAACATATCCAAGCTGAGTTACCAGAACAGAAGAAACAGTCAAGCGGGTTATTTGATATGATGCCTGTAAAGAATACAAGTTATTTGGACCAACATCATCTGTGCATGTTGTAAAATGCTCAGCATGATCACAGAGCATTTTCAAACTGAGTCCATTTACAAGAGGTTAAAATACGTCATCCAACGTCTTTTTCTGTTTATTAAATGTATGTGATTGTCAGATATGAACACTAGTATTCAGCTCATTTCTCAGTTCTAGTCCTCAGGGACCACTGCCCTGCATGTTTTAGGCGTTTCCCTTCTGTCTTTCACCTGACTTGAATAAGTGGGTGATTGACAGGTTTCTGCAGCACTAGATGGCTGCAGAAGATGTCATATGAATCTGGTGTTGTAGAGCAGAGACATAACTAAAATATGCAGGGCAGTGGTCTCTGAGAACCAGAATTGAGAGAGCAAGCTTTCTATCCTCTGCTGGAAAACATGCTAGTCTCTCATTCTTCCACAGAACTCGCTTCACAAACTGCCTCCATTTAGTTTACTTAATGCAACCTGCTCAGCAAAATTAGTGCTTGGCCCTATTCAGCTAATCTTGTTGTATGAATCTATTTACACAGCATTTAGTGTAAGGTACCAACTACCGTCCGAGAGGCTGGAAGTCTAAGGTAATGACTGTAATTCCCAATATTTGAGTAAGGTACTCCAAGCTGACCATCCTTCTGAAAAGGCATA